ACATTTCGTTATTTGCGTGGAAGACTAGCACATTTCAGATTTTTGCGTGGAAGACTAGCACATTTCGTTATTTGCGTGGAAGACTAGCACATTTCAGATTTTTGCGTGGAAGACTAGCACATTTCAGATTTTCGCTTGGAAGAGTAGCATATTTCAGATTGTTAAGCCGCGAAAACTGCACGTCTCCGGTTTAAAGTAAATCAGAAAAGCATAATATATATTGAAAATTCAAACGTTTATTCTATATTTCTTTAATTGTATTATGAAAATCATGAAATTCAGACGGTATATACCGTTTACTAATCATTTGTTGAATATCATCCACTTTTCTTTTTTTAAAGGTATTTTTCCCTTGTAAGCTTTAGGCAATTCACAGTGTTTCATGGTTGACCATTGAACATTTTTTTTCATTAGGTTCAACTTCTCCTCGCTTTGCATAAAGTCGTATTTTACTGCCATGTCTACTTGATTTTTGCTATTTTTTATTGTAATTTTCCGTACATGTGATATCTTAATTTTTTGCCAATGAAAATATTTGGACAGTTCTTCGAAGGAAAATATTTAATTTGCGTTTGCGTTGTTGAAAATTTGTTGAGTTTTTTTAGTATTCTCCTGGGCTTTAAACTTGGGCCAATATGGATTTTTTTAAGAGAATTAACTTTATTTTAATTGAAGGTTTTTTAAGTAAATAAATAAACATAACATAAATAATATCACTTTGAAACGGGGTGTTCTTGATATGATACTGTATGTATATGTTTTTTCGTATTTATTTATAAATAAAGATTCCCTGAGAAAGACGCGAATGTCGAAAGGTGTAGGAGGAAAAATAAACGTTTATTTTACTTGTAATAACCGGCCAAAAGGCTCCATATACAACACTAAACTTTCAGCATGACCGAAGAAAAATAATTATAGTATAAACATACATATTTATGTAACTTTTTTTTTTTAACGGCTGCTACAACCTTATATGAACTGCCTTGCGTATCCCTCTTCCACACAAAAATCTGAAATGTGCTAGTCTTCCAGGCAAATAACGAAATGTGCTACTCTTCCACGCAAAAATCTGAAATGTGCTAGTCTTCCACGCAAATAACGAAATGTGCTACTCTTCCACGCAAAAATCTGAAATGTGCTAGTCTTCCACGCAAAAATCTGAAATGTACTAGTCTTCCACGCAAATAACGAAATGTGCTACTCTTCCACGCAAAAATCTGAAATGTGCTACTTTTCGACGCGAATAATGAAATGTGCTAGTCTTCCACGCTAATAGTGAAATGTGCTAGTCTTCCACGCGAATAGTGAAATGTGCTACTCTTCGTAGGGACCGACGATATATTTTCTTTAAATGGCGTTTACCAAAAATTTGTTTTAAAAATGGTTATAGTAAATACGTCATAAAAAAGTTATTAAAATTATTTTTGAATTGGCATCAATACTTTTCTAATCGGTCAACTAGTTTCCGAGATATTAAACATATAAAAATAGGTAAGTTGAAGTTAAACCTGTTATATTTTCTATGTTTTTAGTTGCCCCAAATAATTTGGGTATGGTAGAAATTAGAGGGCTGCATGAATGCATTCAAAACGTCTTTTGAATTATTCATATACAAAACGAATGAATGATTTTGGCTTGAAATTTTTTTTGAATTTGAGTGAATAGCTGTTCTGATATTTGTGTCAACATCACAATATTCAAACAAAGTGAAAATAAATTGAATTGAAATAAATGACAATTTTTTGTATGAATATCCAAATATATTTTTTCTATGAACATATGTACAAACAAACAATGTATGTATGTATGTATTGCTGCGCTCCTATTACATACGAAAAAACTTGTTTGTAGAAAAAAACTTTTACCGAAATGAGTTTGAATGATTTGAATGTTTTCCATTCATTCATTCACATTCTTCCATTTGAAGGTAGAAAATATAAAACAAAATGTATATTCATAACTTACAAAATTCCAAACGCTGAGTGTTTTGTATGTGAAGTAAAATATTCAAATCTACTGTACTCTGGCTAGAAGTTTGAATGAATTCATGCAGCCCTCTAGTAGAAATCAGCGTGAAAAGTTCTATCGATCTGCATTTTTGTTTTTTTTTTAGCTACGGACTGTATTGTAGCTAGAATCAGCTGTTCGCATGGCAAACGAAATCAAAATTGTCAAATACCTTTTGGTTGTCAAATGCTGCCACATCAGCGGCGAGGGCCGTTTTCATTTGGATGTCATTTTATATGACCGTGCGTGGTGATATGTGACAACAAACGAAAATGACACCAGATGACAACCCATTTTCATTATTTTGACAACATTTGACGTCAAATATGACCTAATTAAGACCAGACTTTAGGAAAAGAACCTATAATGTGGCTCATGACGATGGTACTATCGCTACTATCGATGATTTCAACAGGTACTTCGGAGCAAAGTTTTTTTCCATCGCTCCGCTCCGGTATTTTATTTCGCTCCGAGCTTCGCTCCCGCTCCCAATAAAAATCTTTATTTATTCACTTAAAAATCGAGTCCTAACCGCAGAACAAACGTAGAGAAAAAGAGTTTCCGAATGGTAATTGGATCTGAACTACCAACAAATGAGGTATAATTCGATCTACAAATTTTGTATGGCGACATACGTTATTCGAAGGGTAATTGGAGTGCGAACTACGAATGAGAGAGCCAACTAAGTAATTGGGGTGTCGTGGGAAAGCCGTATAACATGGCTTTTACACGATATGTATTTGCATATGTAAATGTTACTTTTTTGCATGGTGAAACGAATACAGAAGGTGGGGCTGATTGTGATACCGCTAACTCGCTCTTGAAAATTTTGACAGAAATATGACGTCATAGGAGATTTTGTGTATTCCAAGGCGTATTTAATAAGGTGGTGTTGGCCGTATATAAGTAAAAAATTACACTAACAAATTATACGCTGATGTCCATACTGTCATTGGTATGAGTTACAACAAACACTTCATTTTGACGGCGAACAACTCAGCTGTCGCCCCAACACCACCTTGTTTAATACACCTTGGTGCATTCCCTGTGTAATGTACATAAACATACGCAAAACATATACATACTGATAAATCTCTCTCAGCTCTCTCGACCGGCAAGTCTGCGATGACGTCATATTCACGTTACTCTCCCGAATTTCGCATCAATCAGCGCAATCTTGTATTCCATCGGTCTTGACTTTTTTGGATATACTCGTACATAAAGACGTACCATATATGTATCAGAAAAGTAGCATTTACATATGGAAATAAATATCGTGCAATAATGCTTGTAACATGTATTAAGAATTATGATTTTTGCATTTTATAAATGTATGTAGATACGAGTTTATTAGGCTTAACGTAAAAAAATACATTGAGATTTTTATACTAAAATATTATAAATTAATTTATTGATTTTCGATTTAATTAATTACCATTTCATACAGGTTTGGGCTTGTTCTTTATTTAGCACTGGTCAATTAAATACTTAACTTTTAAATATTAACTTTCATCATTGTCGGTGTTTTACTTTTGAACAGTTGCATAAATATTACAGGTAGGTGCAACCAAACATTTCTCTAAGCGTTCAAAATACATATAAATTGGCATTGTGCTAAATAGTTTTTATTAAAGTAAAAATAATTTAAAAATATGTATATATATTTTTTTTACCTTTACTTTTAATGCAAATTTAACTGCTTTTTTTAATAAGGATTTAACGGCCAGATGAGCTCTTCAAATAGAGTTTAGCTAGTAAGCACGGATAAACTTGCACTAAAAAATTGGCGTTTAATCTCTGATTCAAAAATGTGCTTACGTAGTAACAGATATTTAAATAAAAACAGTCGAAGAGTAGATTCATAGAAAGTAATCGTTCTTATGTTAATGAAATTAATCCAATTATCTAGTCATTGTTTTTAAACAAAATTATGCACGCAACATACATACATACATACGTACATATGTATATACACAGATATGTACATATATGTGTTTTACTATGCATAACCAATATTTTTTATATCAGTGACAGACCTTATTTTTGAATTCATTCCTATGTAATTTTCAAGTAGTTATTTTTTAATCTCCAATTAATATTACATTTATGCATAAATTAATCAAGGAAAAATTATTAAATGTAAAACTTAAATTCATATACTATGTTTGTACAATATATATATATATCTTCCACTTTTCTTTTTAATAATATACATATGCGTACATATGTATGTACATACATATATTTATGTAGTAGTGAGCACATAAACATTTTTCCTCTTGCTGTAACATGTCGTTCGCTTGCTGGAGCAACGTCATAGTCCAAGAAGGTTTTTTGAGTGAATCATAAAGATAGTTTCATTTTTGAGTAGTGTAAAAAAGTCATATCTATATCTCGCATTTATGCCTTATAAGAAAAAGTATCTAGTTTTTTTAGAAATAAATTTAATTTAAAAATTTTTTTATTTATTTTTATTTAATTAAAAAATTTATGAATCTGAATATCTTAAGGGATAAGCTTTGAGATAAATTATTAAAAATTAATAATTATTATATAATATTAATAATTATTATATAAATAGCTTTGCTCTTTTCTGCTTTGCTTAGCGGATTTAATAGACCAAAGTATAGAATCAAATTAAGGCTTGATAGTAACCTATTTATTATTTTTAGTTGTAATTTATTTTTATTCAAAGCGAAGTACCTGACTAAAAAACTCAGAACTGTTTTTTTTTGTAGATTTTTTGTTTTTGAGTTATGACGCTCCGTCCAGCAAAAACCACGATATGTACATATTAGGGCTGTGCGATTATTCGATTACTCGAGCAAGTTGGTTAATCAATTATTCGGTTAATCAATTACTCGAGTAATCAAGATTTTTGATTAACCAAAAACAAAAATATTTGAGTAATTTGCTTTATGATTAATTAAAATTTTGAGTAATCAATTAATCGCACAGCCCTAGTACATATGTATATCATACAAATGTATGTAGTGGATATAATTTAGTAAGTGGTTAAACAAAAGACACATTAATTTATTAGATTTGCATATATTAAAAAATAATAATTTCGCGTCAATGCACTGTAGAAAATTCAGTGTCGAATAGTACAAAAACTATATAAATCAATTTCGACTGCCGATTATAAACTAAAAAATTTTCGAATAAACTTACATAAGCGACATTAGTTAAATATTAACAAAGAAAAATTAAGCACATTTTATTCATACATCACATTTACGCACTTCTGCCAAACCAACTAAAATCTGCAGCGAATTGCTTGCGCTTAGAACCAAACTTAGAACCAAATAAGCTAACAACTAGATCTAATTTACCGCTGGAGATGGAGAAATTCATATCGAAAATCAATTTTAAATTGTCGATAGCCCGGTTCCTTGTTCAAGTTGCTCCCATAAATTATTTTGTCTAGAGCCCACAGTATTAATTGCTTAATTTCTTCGAAATTTTGGCCACATTCATAAAATTTTGTAATACATATACAGTGATGAGAAAATAAATAGGGACGCGACATTTTAACAAGTTTTGGTAAGTTGTATTTTGTTTATGATTTTTTTTTAAATGAAAATATAGCTCACTATCTGTATATAAAGGAAAATATAAAACACCTTCAGCAAAAAACAATAAAATTGCCAAAAATCAACGGTAAGTCCTAGCTACTTTAATCTTGCACTTTATTTTACTAGAATTGAATGGGCTACAAAAATTTTCTTTTATGGGTCTGAAGTTTTGATGAAACTTTTTCGAATTTTCCTAATTTCTGTACAAAGTTTAAAATTCGGACATATGTATGTATTGTTTTTTTTTCGATAGTAAACTACCCTAAAATTTAATGAGATACAAAATTGCATACCAAGAATTTATTAAAAAAAAATCTGAATCTTGTACAAAGTTTGAAATTTTGTTTTATTTGGTTTTTATTAGATAGTGATAAAAAAATTATACAAATAAAGTAAAGTAGCCAAAACTTGTTAAAATGTCGCGTCCATATTTATTTTCCCGCCACCGTATGTAGTTTGTGTCAAAATTAAATCGCTAAATGCATTAACGAATTATAAAGTATCTTAAATTTATTTGTATAGGTTAAAGAGCACCATAGTAGAACTGTATTGAAATTTGTTTTGGATCTTGCGAAAAAGCGATAGCAAAGAAAAATCAATAACCATTCATTTTCAAATAATTTGTATATGTATGTACATTAGACTGCATCACAAAAAAAAAAGTTGCGTTTTTTATCACCAAATCTATTAGATTTGAAGGCGTCCACCAAAATATTTAGGGAAAATATTTTCAAGTTTTTCGTAAATCAATCTTTGAAGAAAGTAAAAAAAAACAGCACCAAAAAATCTCGCTATTATGATTCCGTTGAAAAGATTTTTAAATATTTCTAGGCAAATTTTTTAAGCTTAAACCGTTTTGTCATTTGACGGGATTTTATTTTTACAAAAAATCTTTAAGAAACTATTTTTATTCACAAAAAACTCCATTTTTGGAGGTATTTTCAAATTGGTCCAGCTTACGTAAATCTTAATATTTTTCCGTAATATTTTGGGAGTAGCCTAATTCCAACGGAAACACAGTACCGTTTTTATTTTATTTTTTGTATGGGGAGTAATGCAGTCTAATGTACATATATGCAGTGTTGCCGTTGAGAATTTTCAGAAAGTCGCAAAAAAGGGATAATTGACGAAAAAAGGGTCACCATATTATTTTTGTTTTCTTTACTAGTAAAAGAATAAATCTCAGAATCAAAGTCAAAATCACATTTATATTTTTTATAAAGTAAAATAAAATAAATAAAATCGATTTGCATTACCTTTAAGAGTTTTAAGTGATGCATTTTTTCGTACCGACAGTAGGAAATATTTTTTAATAGCATGGTTCTGTTAACATTTCCTTAAAAAATCTCTGAGAAGGGGCAAAAGTCGCACACAATTTTGGAAAAGGGTCAAAAAATCAACATTTTTAAAAAGTCGGGCACCAAAGGGTATTGGTGCTTAAAAAGGGTAAAATTAGTCCTTTAGTCGCGCAACGGCAACACTGCATATATGTGTTGTCTATGTGAGATCAATTTTTATTTAAGTAAACTGCAACTGTACATANTTTAAAAAATCTGTTAAAAAGGGTCAAAAAATCAACATTTTTAAAAAGTCGGGCACCAAAGGGTATTGGTGCTTAAAAAAAGGGCCAAATTGCTCCTTTAGTCGGCCAACGGCAACACTGCATATATGAGTTGTCTATGTGAGATCAATTTTTATTTAAGTAAACTGCAACTGTACATACTTATGTATGTATGTGTTTGTATGAGTGTAGGCAAGTATACTTTCAGTTAGGAATTTTTGAATATCAAAGCTATAAGTGCTAATCGGAAGTTAGTAGAATATGTCTGCGAACTGACTGATCATTTCTCTTAAATGTGCTCCACCTAACTGTAGTTATTTAATTTTCGAATTATATTCATGATTTTCTTTGGATCAATCCAAATGCTTTTTACCACATAAGATATATGGTTACTGGTGCTGTCCGTCCATATTATTCCTTTTCCAGGAACTCAAACTCGCTGTCCGAGGAATCTAGGGTTACATCTTGTTCTTGTGGTGCTGTAATGGCTAACGCAGCAGCTCCGTCTACAGTACTGCTACCGCCGCTGCTGCTATCTTTCTTTATGCCACCCCACTGCATTAATCCAGCAACCAGGTTGGGCAGTAGAGTGCCGCTATTTTCAATCAGCGACTGTGTCGTTGATCTTAGCTCCAAAGACGCAAGATCGCTGCCCCCCGCCGCCACAATATCGCTTGGCTGCTTACTTCGCCCGGCAACATCGATTTTTGCGTGGTCAGGGAATTTTAAACCTTTCGATAAACTCTCCTCAGATGATGATGAGGAGGTAGAAAGCGTCGAATCAGATTTAAAATGCCCTTTTTTGAAGTGAATTTTGCTGGCGATTGTTAGTGGATCGGCATTCAGTTTTTCAATGTTGACAACTGGAATGAGATCATCATCCTCGTCTGTTGAGTTTTCACTTATTTCTGGTATTGAATCTGGTATCAACAGCTCTGATGGTATATCGTCACTTCTATCCTCATCTTCGACATCTTCAGTTGGTGATGTGTGTGAAGTAACATCGCTTGCACGCTCTAACAGTGCGAGGTTCGTCGTATTCACCTCTGGCACAAATTCTGCATCTTCGTCTTCAGAGTCATAGTTTATAGTGTTCAATGATCGAGCGACTAGAAGAGATTTGTGTTAATAAAAAAAATAGTAAAAAATTTGTAATAGTTTAAAGTTTCTTTTTTTTTTTNGAGTGCGAGGTTCGTCGTATTCACCTCTGGCACGAATTCTGCATCTTCGTCTTCAGAGTCATAGTTTATAGTGTTCAATGATCGAGCGACTAGAAGATTTGTGTAAATAAAAAATAGTAAAAAATTTGTAATAGTTTAAAGTTTCTTTTTTTTTAATTTTACTCACATTTCGGATCGAGTTTTTCCACAGTGAATCTCGTGGATACGACGACTGCAATGCTCAAACCAGCTAAAACTACCACAGAGCCCGAACAGCAATGTCCAATCAAGGCTAAACATCCTAGACTTATGGAAGCGAGAATAGCAAACATGGTTGGCCTGGTCCTTCGCAATTCCTTAACCCGATCTATGCAATTTTCGTACTTTTTCTGTAATTCTGGTGGTGGAATAATGCGCAAATTGCTGCGTGTCTTGTAGATCCAAAAGAAAAATAAAGCCAAGAAGAAAATACCGATGGGCCGTAGGCGTAACCTGAAATGGGAAGATAGATAAAATATGAAGGATGATTGATAAATAAGTGAACAAAGGTTTAGTTTTATTATAATTTTAGGATTTTCTAATAAAAGAGAGCATAAAAAATAAATTTCATCGAAAAAGGATGAAACATAATGTTTTCGCACACACATAATGTAGAGTACACGCCAAGTTTCAGCGAAATATATATGTAATACACGTTAACTCTTGCCATTTGGCTACATATCGCACACGATCTTCAAAAGAGTCCCAACTCAAAATTTGGCATTTTTGAAATTATGCACTAAAAATGTGCACAGAGCTTTTATTTACCTTTCAGCCAAAACTGGAGCAAATTTTTGTTATAATTTGTTGAAAAACTCTAAGGTAGTTTTTCTCATTTTCTGACGAAATGTAATTTTGAGTTGTGTCACCTTTGAACATCGTGTGCGATATAGTCGATACACTGCGGCAGAAAATTGTATAAGCTATAAAACATTATATGTACTAGGAATGTTAATCCCGGAATCCCGGGATCCCGGCCTTTTTAGGTTCCAAAAAATCCGGGCTTCTCGGGATTAGTAATTTGCACTGGTGGCAATAATAGAAACTCCTTTTGTTGACCGGTGTCGGCTATATTTCTTTTTTTNAATGAAACATAATGTTTTCGCACACACATAATGTAGAGCACACGCCAAGTTTCAGCGAAATATATATGTAGATACACGTTAACTCTTGCCATTTGGCTATATATCGCACATGTACTAGGAATGTTAATCCCGGAATCCCGGGATCCCGGCCTTTTTAGGTTCCAAAAAATCCGGGCTTCTCGGGATTAGTAATTTGCACTGGTGGCAATAATCGAAACTCCTTTTGTTGACCGGTGTCGGCTATATTTCTTTTTTTATTTAATAATTGATATTTTTTTATAAATGTCTAGGTCATTATACATATAATACTGTGCGATAGTCAATTTTAAACACATAAAATCAATATATTCGCGAAAGCGTGGGCCAAATATAGTGAAATTGCGTTTTTTTTAAGTTTTTCATTCTGACGCGAGTAACTCAAAAATGATTTAAAAAAATTCAGTGAAATGTGCTTATAGAAAAAGTGTGGGCACCCAATTTAAGAGAAAATTCTGTAGAATTTAAACAGATTAATTGTTTTTGCGTATATGGACGGGTAAGTATTGGAAACGTCCGTTTAAAATTTTATCCATGAATATCCTTGAAATCTTGCAATATTCATTTTTGAAAAAATTATGTGTTAAGGACTTATAGAAACTCGACAACATCCTCGAATTTCGTCCGCATAACTTTATCAGCTCAAAAAATTACCTATTTGTCTTTGTGAGTCCAAAAAATTAAAATTTTTTAAAATTCTAAATCTCACATCTACAGGCTAAGGTCTTTAATTGGACCTCTCATTTTTGAAATCACTTTTCAAAAGTATTCTCAAACTAAAATCTTCTTAAATCTCTTTCGTCTNTTTTTTGCGTATATGGACGGGTAAGTATTGGAAACGTCCGTTTAAAATTTTATTCAGGAATATCCTTGAAATCTTGCAATATTCATTTTTGAAAAAATTATGTGTTAAGGGCTTATATAAACTTGATAACATCCTCGAATTTCGTCCGTCTAACTTTATCAGCCCAAAAAATTACCTATTTGTCCTTGTGAATCCAAAAAATTTTAATTTTTTGAAATTCTAAATCTCACATCTACAGGCTAAGGTCTTTAATTGGACCTCTCATTTTTGAAATTACTTTTCAAAAGTATTCTCAAACTAAAATCTTCTTAAATCTCTTTCGTCTGACATTGTGATACACATAGGCGTCACGGGTGGGACATTTGAACAGAAAAAAAGTACTGAACAATTCTACATTTTGATATAGCTACACCTAATTGACTATTATATGAGTTATTACAAAATACGAAAAAAATGCCAGCTAACTTTTATATGGAAAAATCTGAGTTATCTCTTCTGTCACGGGCGGGACAAAAAAAAAGAACCTGCTTTTGGGAGCAGTTATATTTTACGAAAACTCTGCGATTTTTTTTCACTTTTCTGTGTGAACTTGATGTCTTATAATAAAACAAGGAAGCACGAATGCAAACAAAGCAAAAACTACAGCAAAAATTATGGATTTATTATGAAAAAAATCCGAAAGGTCTCTGTCACGGGTGGGACACCTACGAATTTTTATATGAAATGGAGCTTTTAGTGTGGTTCATATTAAAGATTAGTTATTAGAAAATATAAGAAGCCAGGTAGGGGTTCAATTCACTCGCATTTTATCTTAGTATAGTGCCTTTTATATAGAAGGAAAAGTCTAGCACCGTCAGCCAAAAACTTATTAAAAATCAACGCGATCTCCTAGCGTTTTGAAATTAGCATTTCATGGGCTATAAAACTGCATACCAACATTTTTCTAAAAACTCTAAATAAAAAGTTTCAAATTTTTGGGTGTAGTTTTTAAAGTTTGGTGAATTTTTATAANCTTATTGAAAATCAACGCGATCTCCTAGCGTCTTGAAATTAGCATTTCATGGGCTATAAAACTGCATACCAACATTTTTCTAAAAATTCGAAATAAAAAGTTTCAAATTTTTGGGTGTAGTTTTTAAAGTTTGGTGAATTTTTATAATTTTTGTACGAAATATGATATAGATTTATGTGGTGTTCATTATGTAATGTGCCAGACTTTTATAAAAAAATTATAAACATTAAATAAACAAAATAACAATAGCCAAAATTGGTAAAAATATCACCTAACTTAATCAGCTGACCACACGCGTGTCTTTTTTTTTTGTAGTTTCAGACAAATGATGCATTTTCGACTTAAGATAGGTACTTTGTGTGCGATAAGTATTTGTGCAAACCTAATCACTTGATCACTCACTCCTCCTATACGCTTTGGTACTCGTATTTTTACACCTCACCTCTATGCGAAGAAAGCGACTAAAAGATACTCGACCTTGATATAAATAAGCGATAATACTTCAAAGGTTTTTCGAATAAAAAGGAATTAAAAAAAAAAACAATATTGGCATGCTCATTACCATACAATGTGATTGCCTATTTCCTACAAGTGTATACACACTCCATACATATGTACTTATGTACATGTGTACACCAATGTGTAGATCAATGTGAAAAGTGATCGTTTTATTAACAATTCTATTAAAAACAAAAAGAAATACATATGAAACTTAACAACAAAATTAAATGCAAAAGTATGTACATACATACATATGTGTGCGAGTAACCAAAACAAATAGTACAATTTTGCAAAAACATCAACTGTGGAATCAACAACAAAAAACACAAACATGAACTATGTATAAGATAACAAAAAAAAAATATATTTGCTATAATGTATTCATAGTGTCAGCTGATTTTTGCGTCGTACACGGACATGAGAAAGTGTATGCAAATGTATGTACATTTGTATAGCATATACTATGTATGTATGTACCTACAAAGGCGCCCTGTAGGGAAGTCCATGTGTTCTATAGGAAAGCCCAGTATAGAAATGGATTAGTTTTGAGATGGTGGAATTTCGTTGAATTTAAAACCATAAAAAGCATACTTGTAAACTCAAACTCCGTTTCCTATTTGTATGAACTTTTATTAGAATACAGAGAAAAATGCATAAATGACTTGTATTCGCCTTGTATTTATTCTACAGAATACGTACACACAGTCATGTGAAAACTAATAGGGGCACGTTACTTTTACCAGGTTTGGTTAATTTTCTTTTGTTTGTTTAACGTTTATTATTTTTTTATTAAAAAAATAAAGTTTAAATTTTGTTCATAAAATGCAGGTAATGTCGAAATTTCAGCTATTATATACATTATAAGAGGGAAAGAAAAATTCAACACCTTCACTTTCACACTCACGAATGAAATCAGTTATTCTAGCAACACCTCCTTATATGAATTCGGCTTGGAAATAAGTATGTCGTTTTGCTCACAGCGCTCTAGCATTCGCAATGGCTGACAAAGCAGTTGACTTGCGTGCCATTCAAGAGATCCGAGGTTCGAATCGTCGGGCAACGAAACACATTTTTAAACTTGTTTTTATTTAATTTTTCACAGTAATTTTTTAATTTTAATATTTTCAAAAAGAAAAATCAGCCTCATTGCGATTGTCGTGTGCAAGTCGTTTTTCGAAAGTCGGGTTGTATCGAAAATTGCATGACATTGCCTAGAACTTCAATTCGACTAGTATATTAAAACGGAGAAACTAGGCGGCACTGCATAGTTTTCGACAATTTTCGTCGTCTACTTATTTCAGCACGAAAGTAGACAATGCCAATGTTGTGCAGTCCTGCAATTTAGTCTAATTTACGACTTACACAATGGAGTTGAATATGTATTTTTTTAATTTCGTTCAATATTTATGTAATTTATTTAAGTTTTTTTTTTTGAAATAATTTATATATAAATATTTAAAGTGAATTAATTCACATAAACTTACATTGATTTAGTTTGAAAAATCTTTACCCCCTCCGAACGGACTCGAACGTACGATCTCAGAATCAAAATTCATTCAATTCAATTAATTCAAAAACAGATACCGCTGATCGCATAAGTTATTCGAAATTGTCGAACTGGTAGGCCTCCCCTGCTGTAGCTCATACTAGTTAATGAACTGGTATTTTTACTGACTGGTTTGTGTTTTCACTACAGGGTGGGGTGTTTTGCATACAAATTACGAATGACGCGTCAACATGGAGGCAAATACTTGAAAATTAAAAAAAAAAATTTGCTCACGCTTAGGTAGAAGGGCAAGAGAAGCAAGCAGGTGAAAATAGCGACATTTCTTCTACATATTAACGGTGCGAAGGAAAGTTCCGTGTGAAATCAGTAACCGATAAGAAGAATGAGCAATAGGTGGGCTCAAGTGTACTTGTAAGTCTGTAGTAAAATACACGTTTTACTGACTTGTTTACAAACACTAAATGCGGCATATATGTATGTATACAGAAGCATGTATAATTATCGTAT